AAAGTCATGCTCAGGTTCCCTACCACACATGATCAAAGTGGATAATTATAATATAAATAATTCTCAAACAATAGCTCACGAATTTAATAAATTCTTTGTTGAAATTGGCCCTAAACTATTTATATTAATTCTTAATACAGAAGTCTCATTTAAAGATTTCTTAGTACCGATGGATAATTGCATTCACTCAGATGAGTTATCTAAAGAGTTATCTAAAAGTTATCTAAAGATGAGTTATTTAAAATCTTATTATTTGATGAGTTCGAAAAAGCTTTTAAAACACTAAAAAAAAAAAAATAAAGCAGTTGGACCGGATGAAATCAAGGGTAACATAATTTTAGATTGCTTTCAACAAATAAAATATATATTCTTTTTAAAGTCTTGAAATCATCAATAGAACAAGTAATCTTTCATGAACAAATAAAAATTGTTAAAGTCATTCACTTTTCAAAGGTGGTGACAAATCTGATATAGGTATTTACTGGCCTATCTCTATCTTATTAATATTTTCAAAAATACTAGAAAGAATTATGTTCAATAGAGTTTTTAATTATTTTAGTTTAAATAATTTATTATACAACAATCAGTTTGGCTTTAAAAAGAATAACTTAGCTGAGCATGCAAATATTCAGTTGGTACGTGAAATCTCCAATTCTTTTAAAAAATCTCAATTCACATTAGGAATTTTTATCGATCTTTTAAAAGCATTTGATACTGTCGGTCATGATATTTTGCTTTATAAACTTTATTATTACGGAATAAATGAAAGAGTAATTAAAGTTATTTATCTAACAGAAAACAATTTGTGTATATATATATATATATATATATATATATATATATATATATATATATATATATATATATATATATATATATATATATATATATATATATATATATATATATATACAGTGGTGGCAGAATTATTAGACTAGGCTACAAAACTGAGATTATTTTCGAATGTACCTACCTTGGCACAAATTAGTTATTAAATTAATGTATATATAGTTACTGTATGTATAGCCCAATGTTGCATAAGTGATAATAAGTGCAATTTATTTTTATTTTCGATCAAGATCCATTTATTGAAAATTTTAACTGTAAATTGAATGTTAAAAGATGGTCACCTGCTATCTGTTAGAGGTCAGTATTTTTTTATTTGTTTGATGTTTATGAGCAAAAATTAAAGGCAAATGTACATTAATAAGAGTTGTTTGACATTACATTAAGGTCAATCTATTATTTATTTTTATTTTCTACATTAAAAATGAATAAACATGTTTAATTAATAAAGCATTTTATGTCCTTTTAATAGATGGGAAAAGCTGCTGACTTGTCACCAACAAAATTGGCCAGAGTTGAGGTTTATCTACAAGAGACATCACTCACGCAAAAGGAGATTGCTAAAAATGTTGGAATAAATCAGAAATCAGTATCGAGAATAAAGAAGACGCAGACTGGTGAAAAAATAACGAGGCAACCGTGTTGGCAATTGTGGCAGAAAAAAATTAATGTTTGTGCGAGACAACAGGTACCTCATGAAATGCTGTATAAGAAACCATAAAGCAACAAGCAAGATGTTGCAGAAAGAATTACAAAAAAGTAATGTACATGTGAGTACCAGAACAGTCAGAAGACAATTAGTTATGAATGGTTTTTGAGCTCGACGGCCTCGCAGAAAACCATAGCTGATCAAGAAACCAGCAATGATCAAGAAACGTTTGGCATGGGGAAAGCAACACAAGAATTTCACTGAAAATGATTGGAGTCAGGTGTGTTTTAGTGATGAATCATCCTTTTACATCATGGATGAGAAAGCAGCCTATGTACGTAGGAGACCCGGTGAAGAATTTCATCCTGACTGTGTTGCAGAGACAGTATAGCACCCAACGTATGTCATGGTCTGGTTAGTAATCTCTATTCATGGGCCTGGATGACTTTATATTGTTGAAGGCACCATGAATCAAATTCAATAAAAAAAGGTGCTTGAGACACAACTGCTGCCTCAACTTGGCGAATGGTGTCGACGGAGACCGTTCACTTTTATGCAAGATGGAACACCTTGTCACACTGCGAAGACAGTCAAGAAATACTTAGCTGACAGCCACATTAAGCTTCTGCAGTGGCCAAGTAATTCAACTGAAATGAACCCCATTGAGAACCTGTGGGAGATTGTCAAAAGAAGATTAGGAGGGGTGAAACCAAAAAACAAGATGGAACAGACCGAGGCTTTGATCAATGTCTGGCATCATGACGACGAAATCCGTAAGCTTTGCCCAAAACTTATTCATGGGATGCCTTCAAGGGTCCAGGCACTGCTTAAAAATAAGGGAAACCATACAAAATATTAAACGACATGTTTCAACTATTCGAACTCATTGCCATTGTAATTTATTTCATTTTCTATTGTTACTTCTTGCATTTTTATTGTAATTTTAACTTAGTCTTATTAATGCGACTTTTAAGTCATTTTGGCATTTGAATATCAAGTCCTAATTTTGCATTGTATTTAATTGTTTTTATACTTAAACAGCTCAATTTTTTGCTTTTTTACAATAAAATATTGCGTTTTTTAACTTTTCCAATTTTTTGTTATGTTTTGAAGTAAAAATGTTGCATTATTTATAAATAAATTTCACAATTGCATCAAAAATTGCATTTAGTCTAATAATTTGGCCACCACTATATATATATATATATATATATATATATATATATATATATATATATATATATATATATATATATATATATATATATATATATATATATATATATATATATATATATATATATATATATATATATATATATATATATATATATATATATATATATATATATATATATATATATATATATATATATATATATATATATATATATATATATATATATATATATATATATATATATATATATATATATATATATATATATATATATATATATATATATATATATATATATATATATATATATTAGGGTGCATCAAACGCCCCATACTTTCAAAATTTGATCTGTCTCTATTCTTAAAACCATCTATTGGTTCTCACGAGACACTCTGTTAAATTTTTTCAAAATTGAATGAGATTTAGGGGGGCCACATTAAGTCTGAAACTTGCAACGATACCCTAAACAGAAGAAAAAAAAGTTTTTCAAATGTATGTCATGTTGGGTCTCAAAAAAAGCGAAACTTTATAAAAATTTCAAAAATAGTTATGATTTTTTGTTAAAAATACCTTTAAAAAAATTTTTGACCAAAAACCATGAAAAAATGGCTTTTATTAATTTTTTGCTAAAAAATAATTTTTATGCAATAAAACTTATAATAATAAATATTATGTAAAATTTTTATTGTTTTTGAAATTTTTTTTATAAAATTTCGCTTCTTTTGAGACCCAACATGACGTACATTTGAAAAATTATTTTTTCTTCTGTTTAGGGTCTCGTTGCAAGTTTCAGATTTGAGGTGGCCCCCCTAAATCTCATTCAATTTTGAAAAAATTTAACAGAGTGTCTTGTGAGTACCAAAGAAAGTTTTAAGAACAGAGACAGATCAATTTTTGAAAGTATGGGGCGTTTGATGCACCCTAGTATATATATTAGAAATAGATTTGCTATACAATATTCGAAATTTCTTTTTTAGGCGCATTTTCTATTAAATCTTATTTATCGCTTTTAAAAAAACTGAAAGATAAAAAACAGGTGAATATATTTAACCTAATATTCTTAACGATCTTTTTCCTTTATAAATTTGACATTCGAAATTTTTAAATGAACGTTGTTAATGTTGTTTTGTTCATCTTCGTTCAAAAACATTAAGAGTTGTAAAGACTCCTTAACTTAAAGTCTCATTATTACTGAGTTTTTAGATTTTTTATTTCGACGCAAATTGTTTTTTATATGTGTATATTTTTTTAATAAATTAAAAATTACTTTGCTTCACTTGTTCTTCGTCATTTTTTGAACTATATTCATGCTAACTACAAGCTAAAAAATAATAGTTTTAGTTTATAAAAAATGATTATTCAGTAACCGTGGCGCAGTACCCTACGGGCATTTGTTTTTAAAAGTTACGTTCTAAATGTTTTTTAAACGTTTTTTAAACGTCTTTTTAACGTTCTTTACGTAAGAATGTTTAAAAGACGTTTAAAAGACATTTAAAATACATTTAGAACGTAACTTTTAAAAACAAATTCCCGCTGGATATAGTTAAAGTACTTGCTTTAGAAGCAAGAGACCTAGGATTCGAAGTATACTCTGGACATATTTAGCATCATCGGTAAGAGAGGAGGTTTGAACTTCCTAGTTAAATACTTTTCTGTTGTACTCCGTGACAAAACTATAAGGTCTTCTTGGGGCACCTAAAAAAAAAAAAAGTTTATAAAATCTATAAAAGTTCTTAAAAATTTCTCTTTCAATTAAAAATGCTTTAAATATCCAAATGTGGCGTTCAGTTAAATTTGGTTTAGAAGCCCAGATTCGTCTTTCACTTATATTCGGGCTACATAGACAGCTTAAATTCCTCTTTCAGTTAAATTCTGTGTACGCATACGTTCTAAATTCGTCTTTCATTTAAATTCGAGTCGACTTCGCCGGTCCTTAGACGGTACCGTTGCGTTTATAAAAATAATTTATTGCAACTCAAGTTGGATAAATGAGTTTATAAAAAAATTTATGAATTATTATATTTTTAAATTAGAAGTTGGAAAATGTATTGAAAATTAAATATAATAAGTTGAAAAATTTATTATTACAAAATATAAATGTTGCTAAATAAAAAATCTGATTATTAAAATTTCAATTACTCAATTGCAATTGTCTAATTGAAATTATTTTTAAGTGACTTGAATTAAAATGGCAACTAAAATTATGCTTCAACATATACCAAAGCTCGAGAAACTATCATCTAGAGTTTTTAGAGTACTTGGTTGCAATCCATCTGAAATGACTTTGCAAGGAACTAACACATACCTTGTTGGAACTGGAAAAGTGTAAGTATATAATAAATGATTTTTGTCAGTATATGTTTAAATTTAGAGCTTTTAAATGTTTTTGCTTTATAGTAGGTCGTTATAGTTATAGTTGTTAAATAGTTATAAAAAAAAAGACATTAGGTTTTTAAAGATGGCTAGTTATAACAAAAAAGACCATAACTTACACAACACCAAATCATATTGGTAAACATAAGTTTTACTATAACACATGGATAGTTAGGGATAAATAACACATGGATATTTAGGGATAGATAACACATGGATATTTATGGATAGGTAACACATAGGTTTAGGATATTAGATGAATAGTGTAATGGCTATACAAAAAGATTTGAGTTATGGGTCATTCCAGCTCAATTCAACTTATGCTTGGCACCACGCCATCTCAGATTTTGCTGATAAAACAAGCTTGAATTAATAAAAAAAAACTTCACTCCAAGTTTTAGTGTCTGACTCCTTACGGTTTCAGAGATATTGATACTTGGTCCCAATCTCTTTTTTTGGCTTTTTTTTCAGAACCATTTATTTTTTAGGCTCATTGCACGACACAATTAGCTTTAACTTATGAAATACTTGTTTAATAGTATTAAAAAATTTCTACCTAATTATTTTTTAGGGTGAGGAACTTAAAAATGATGACTAAAACACACAAAAATCTAAGCTTCTGTATGAAAATGCAATTTCAAAATGGTGTAACACTTTTTGAAGGTTTTTTGATGCCCTGTACAAAAAAATGTTTATCTCGAGATGCCTAAAACATAAAATTCTGAAATTTTTTCCAAATGTTCTATATGTACCAAATTCCATAATACAAAAAAACTGCAGAGGTTTTTTTTTTAAATTAGGTTTATTTGTATTTAAAGTTTAATTAATATCCTTTGTATAATCAGATAAATCTTTAATGGAATTAATGAGAAACTGCATTACTCTTTCAGCAGTAAGAAGATTACTATCTCTTGCACTGAGTGCTTCAACTGCCATTTGCACCGGTTTTAAGATAAATATTAATCTCATTTTCATTCAAATTTATCTGGAAGTTTAAGTCTGTTAGAGCTTTTTTAATACAGGGTCTCAACAAAAGATAACGCTCTATCATTGGAACGATACTGTTCCACCTAGTTGGAGAATCCAACATAAGACTCAGTTCTTTTCCATTGTCCATTTTAACGTATTTTAGAAGAAGACAGTTTTTTACCGCTGATTTCTTGAAAAGCTTCACAATTTTGAAAACATTGTTCAAAACTATTTTAAAATCTTCCTGTTCTTCTAAAATGTATTCATTTCCAAGTAACTCGTCATCATCATCCTTCTACTTATACTTATACTTGTACATCATCATCCTCATTTTCTGAATCTAAATCTTGATCAGATTCTTCAGCAGAAGAAAACTCTAAATAATCATCATTTAAATAGCTTCTAGGTTTTACATTTTTTTTATAAATAATGTCGGTAATTGATGAAGACATAAATAATGGAACTTAAATGATGACTCTCTCCCAAATTTTTTCATAACAGATGCTCCATCGGTTGTTATTGCCAAAACATCACTTAAGTTAATTTTAAAACTGGAAAGTTTTTTTTGAAGTAGATTTTTAAGACTTCAGCTGAACAATTACCATAAATTCTTATAAGACCCAAATTATCATAGCTTCTGTCTGAATAATACACATTTATGTATAAACATTGTCGATTTTTAAAGCTTGTCCATTCATCAAGTGTCAAACTTAATAATGAGTTCTCTTTTGTGTACAAATTTTTTTTTTATGGTTTTTAGTTTTATTAATTCATAATAATCATGTACGAGTTTCATGATGTGGGTTTTGCTCTTAGGCAACTGAAATCCATGGGCACTTAAACATTCCCTTATGAACAAACTTTTGCAAATTTCAGAAATTGAAAATCCATCCAAAGCACATAATCTTGCTACTATTTCAGCCATAGATTGTCTTTTAACATAATTAAAGATTGTAGGTTGAGTTTTAATTTTAGAAATCTTAGAGCTTTCTAATCTAGCTTCCAAATTGGCCTTACTTTCTTTGCGTTTTATAGCCTTTTCTGGATGAACAGCTGATAGGTGACAAATTAATCCACTGGCAGATGATCCTTTGCATCCAATATTTGTTGAGCAGTATTTGCAAATCGCTTTTTCACAACTCTTGTCCTTTTTGAAATGGTTTCAAACTTCTGATGAATTCTTTTTAAACATGGTCTGATAATTGTAATATGTAATAAAAATAACTTTATGAGTATAATAATTATTAAATCAATTCAAATTTTACTTTTTATTGCTTACCTTTTTATCTGCCAAGTTTGAATTACTTCAAAATAATATAAATTTCACAAATTATGTTCAAATTATAAAAAAAAAATAAACAAATTATTAATTATTAAAATAAATTCTTTATTACACAAAATTATTACACAAAATGACAAAAAAAAAATGTTATCAAAATATTGTACAAAAAATTGCTAAATCTAAACCTACTACTTAAAATAATTTTTAAAATGCAAAAGATAACTTCGAAAAAAGTTAAGTGTTTAAAAAACCTTTTTGCTACTAAGAATAATTTTTATAATACCGTTTTTCAATATGTTGAATCCCAGGAATAGGGAACTATAAAAATTAAGCAATTTCCCGGGATTCCCGTACCCGGGAAATCCCGGGTAGAACCCACTAGCTCCAGCAACAAACTTATTGTTAATGAATAATATTTCAACAACTGTTACAGGAAGACAATACAAAATCAGTGAAATTGATCACCAGACCATTGAAGATAGCTAGGCAAACTGTAAACCAGAGGACTAATTTGTTATCTGTCAAAGTATTTAATTCTTATTTTTTTTTAAATGATTTTTAATTCTTATTACCTTTTAGTTTTAATTTTTCTTATTGTGATTAATTATTTCCAGGTTTTAGTGTAATTTCAATATTTTTTTGGTTTATTATTATAAGACTTTGAATGCAATTAAATTTGATTTAAAAAAGAAAACCCTTCCAGATTTTTTGTATTATGGACTTTGTTATATATAGAACATAAGGAAAAAATTTCAGAATCATACCATTTAGACATCTTGAAATAAACTTTTATTCGTACGGGGCATCAAAAATCTTACAAAAAGTGTTACACCATTTTGAAATTAAATATTTACATAGAAGCTTAAATTTTTTTTAATGTTTTAACCATGATTTTTAAGTTACTCACCATAAAAATAGTAAGGTAGAAATTTTCATCACTATTGAACAAGTATTTCATAAGTTAAAGCTAATTGTGTTGTGCAATAAGCTTAAAAAATAAATAGCGCTGAAAAAAAAAGTCAAAAAAGAGATTGGGACTGAGTATTAAAATACAGACAAAAAAAATCTCTGAGACTGTAAGGAGTCTGATACTAAAATTTGGAGTGAAGTTTTTTTTCATTAATTTAAGCTTGTACTCCAAAAATCAGGATAATCTAAGATAGTATGGTGCCAAAAAATTTTTTTTTTAGTTGATTTGAACTGGAATGACACTTATGACTGAGTTGATTAGTGGAAATTCTTCATAACTTTTATTGCTTAGGTGAATTTAAATTAGTCTTAAAAAGAACAAGTAGTTTTGGTAGATTTTTCAAGAGATAAAATTGAACTTAAAAAAATTTTTTACACAAGTACTTTTAAATTTTTTCTGATAATCTATATTATGACAATAGCACCAAAAAGTATTAAATTTATTTTTACTAATATTTGTGGTCTAGAAATTCACTAGATCTACTTGCTGTTTATGAGACATATTTAAGTTCAGCTATTTCATCTCAAATATTAATCTTCTAGTACCATTAAATTGGCTGCCATTAAAACTTTTTTTTTTTTTAATATTTTTATTTTATCATTTATCTAGGTAGTCAATTTAGCCATTTGTTTTTCTGATTAGTCAAATTTTATTTACATTTATTTCTTCCTTTGTATCTTGTTTCTGAATCTAGTTTGTGCTTAGTTTCTTCTCATTTTCTTTTGTGGTTCAGGCTATGCTATGAACTCATTTTTTTTAATACTTCTGTATCAGATTCATCTATGTTGTACTTTCTTATCATACTTTTTGTTCATTGTACTTTCTTACATCTTCTTAAATGCTGACTAGTTCAACCCTCGGAATTAGGGTCAGCATTCGGCAATGCCAACCTGAAAGTGTTTGAGGTCGGTAAAAAATTGCCGACCTCATTTTTATGTTTACTGGTCAGACCTTTGTATCAAATAACTTTTGCCAACCTGATGCTGACCTTAAAAATATTGAGGTTGGCAAATTATTGCTGGCCTCATTTTTCCTAATTCCGAGGGTTGTTATTTTTTTTTCGTAATTTTATCATTGATGATTCTTGGTTTGATGTTTTTTATTGTCTGTAAAGTTAAATCTCTTATATAGTCTCTTGAATTAAGGTGAAATGAATCTAATTTCTTATTTCTAATTCATGTCAAGCTTCACTCTATCTCACATTTTTCTTCTTCTTGTGCATCTTTTGTTACTAGTTTTTTCCCCCCATCTTTTTCACTTGAGCAACTCTTCCAAGATTAGATATCTTTTTATTAGTTGCAAAAATTATATGCAAAAAAATGATGTTTACCATCAGAGACTTAGTCAAGACAGTAAAAGCCAAGATATAAAACAGTCAACTCAAGACCAAGTCTTAGAATGTTTTAACACACATGTATATATACTATTAGGCCTTTAACTGATGTATTATTTTACTATTTATGCACATTACTCTATAATAAAATGTAATTACACATGGATGAAATAATTATGTTATTTTGTATTGTGCAGTGCACTGTTGCAATAACAAAAAACTAACAGAGTTCTTGCATTGTTAAAAACAAAATGTACCAATGAATAATGGTGCAACATCATTATAATATGAAAATAAAAATAGCAGACATGCTAGGCCTATAGCCATATACTATAGTAACAACAACAACAACAAAATTAAAGTTAAGTTTACATATACAAGTACTTTATGTATGATAT